AAATGGAAGTAAGCCCAACAATTATGAAACAAGAGATTCCTCGAAACCCAACTTTTCTTCGTATATAAAAGATCGGACTGTTGCCTATCGCGAAGAGGCCAACGTCGGTTAACGTCGTGTCAGTCGAATGAACTTGTGTCTGCTTGTCACCACTTTCCGCCTATTTCCGTGACACGTCGATTACGGCGTGCTCGCGCAGCTTTTCACACGAGCCGAACGGTAGCAAAAAAGACGACAGACAAAACCGGGTCCGAGTCCGGTTGTGGTTGGGCGAGAAAAGGGGAGAGCGGCCTTACCTGCGGATTGTCGGTGCCGAGGATGCCGGCCTTCATGAGGGCGGCGGGTGTGGGCGCCCGCGGGCCCGTGGCCAACGGCGTGACGGCGAGTCCGGCCTGTCCTGCGCCGTCGAGTCGCAGGCTCGACGCCGGCATGGGTCTTTCGGGGGAGGCGTCGCCGCGCGAGGTCGAGGCTGAGCTCGAGGCCGGGCCCAGCGGAGGCAGGCCGAGGTTGAGGCCGAGGCTGAGGCCGAGGCCGAGGCCCAGGCTTCGGCCACGTTCCAGCGCCGCCTCGAACGAGGCGGACGGCTCGAGGCCGAGGCCGAGGCTGAGGCCGAGACCGGCCGCCGAAGCCGCGGCCTCGTCGCTGTTGCCGGTCGAGAGGGTCGAGCTGGTGGCGGCCGAGATGGAGCGGCTGAGAGCACGCAGCTCGTGCAGGCGTTGGCTGAGCACAGCGCGGGTCGACGCGAACACGGGATCCTTCAGCACGGAGTGGGGGTAGTGATGTGCCTAGGGGGGAGGGGCAGAAAAGAAGGAGACATTCACACAACTGACGAGATCGGGATGCGCATCGACGGGCAAATGAGCCAACGAAAAGGGAGGAGACGGAAGTGAGGATGATGCTGATGATGATGAAGATGAAGATTTTATTGTTGATGAGGAAAAAGAAGAATATGATGTTGATGATGAAGATAATGATGATGATGATGATGATGATGATGATGATGATGATGATGATGATGATGATGATGATGATGATG